ATGTTGTGGGAGACCGTATTAAAATCCTTGCTAAAATCAAGGTATCACATCCATGCATCTCCCTGCATCCACAGAGTAAGTCACCTCATCATAGAAGGCAATCAGGTTGGTCTGGCATGACTTGCCCCTTGGTGAATCCATGCTGACTGTTCCTAATCACCTTTTTCTCCTCCAAGTGCTTAGAAATGGATTCCTTGAGGATCTGCTCCATGATTTTTCCAGGGACTGAGGTGAGGTTGATTGGTCTGTAGTTCCCTGGATCTTCCTTTTTGCCTTTCTTAAATATGGACACTATTCCCTTTTCCAATCATCTGGGACCTCTCCTGATAGCCATGAGTTTTCAAAGATAATGGCCAATGGCTCTGCAATCTCATCAGCCAACTCTCTCAGCCCCTTTGGGTGCATCCCATCCAGCCCCAGCCTTTCTAAATAGTCCCTAACCTGTTCTTTTGCCACTGTTGACTGCTCACCTCCTCCCCAAACTGTGCTGACCATTATATTCTTCTGGGCTAAGTACAGACATTAAAAAAGCCTGAACCTGAATCAATTCAATCTTTGCAGTGTAGTCTAACCTGTGTAGATTGAATTGAGAAAAAAGTAAATAGACATTTACTTTTGATACTGGAAAGGCAGCCACATGCCTGCAGTGGCTAAGGGCAGAAACCAGGGAGTGCTAGAGTGAGCCATCCTTTCCTTTCTGCAGTGGCCAGAAGGCTGGAGGGAAGCTGAGCTGAGGGGGGTGACCAGGCCCCAGTAGACTATGTATAATTTTTGGAGGGGTTTAAACCCCATCCCTGGCCTTCATGGTTCGCAGCAGGGTTGTGCCTGGAGGGGGAGGGGGGAAGCAGCCCTTGCCAGGCTTTTCCAGGTGTGGGGGGTGAGTGTGGTAAGACCCCAGACCCCACCTGGCACCAAAGAGTCAAGAAGGGGCATTGGCAACATGTAGGGGGTGCATGCAGGTGCATGTGCACCCCCTCAGCTTGGTGGTGCATGCCCCCAGCCGCTCGCCACCCCTTCCCCCCTCACCACTGACACTGCCGGCGGAGTCTGCGGGCGGTCTCCAATTGCCGGTGCTGTCTGCTGCGGGTGGTCGTCGATCACCAGTTGGCGCTCGCCACCCCCCACTCCACCACCAACACCTCTGCGGCCACCTGCGAGATCTCCCCACTCCCCGGGGCCACACCCCTGCCACTGACACCGCTGCTGCTGCCTGCGGGCAGTTGCTGTGCCTCCCCAGCCTCCGGGGACACGTAGCGTTCATGACCAGGAGCATAGCCAGACCCCAGCCCTGGGCCTGTGGTGAAGGGGGGAAATCACAGAGAAGTGGGACTGGCAGGGACCTCCAGAAGACCTCTAGTGTCTAGTCCAGACCCTTTCTGAGCCCTGGCCAGACCCTACTGTACAAGCATCATGTAAAGAGTGGAGGGTTAGCTCACAGCACTCATGATCGAGAACACCTGCCAGGGAGCTCTGTACTGCTGAGGGGAAAAAAAGCCACCAAGAGCTTCCTGTAGCTGGTTTCCCACCCCCTGCCCCACAGCAGGGCCCAACACTGCACCCCTCCAGCCCTGAGTCCTGAGGCAGTGCTGGGCACACAGCTCCCATGGCCACAGCCTGAGCCATGGTGGGTGAGGAGGAAGGGGGACCCTTCCCTGCCCGCTGCAGCAGCTACATGACAGCCCAGCCCAGCCTGGGCATGGGGAGCAGGGAGTAATCTGGGCACACAAAACCCACAGCCCCAGCCTGAGCTGGAGCTAGCTGGGAAGGGTCCTGCTCTTGCGGCCTTGCCTGGCCCTTCCAGGCCTATCCTCAGCAGTGCCCGTGGGCTGGCCTGGGTCAGCCCTGCAGTCCCAGCCCCAGGCGAGGCAGGTGGATGGCGGGGCTAGGCTGAGCCATGGGGGCAGGGCCCTTTCAAGCCAGCTGTGGCTTGGGTTGGGGCTGCAGGAGCTGTGTGCCTGAATTTAGCCCATCTCCCTATGCCCAGGCCAGGCTGGGTTGTCATGGAGCTGCTGCTGTGGGCAGGGCTCTCCCCGTCCTTTTCCTCCTCCACCGCAGGGCCAGCGAGACGTTCTGTGTGGTTCTGTCTTGGGGCACAGGGCTACAGGGGTGCAGCACTGGCCTCAGTTTTGGGGCAGAGGAGGAAAACTGGCTGCAGGAAGCCCTTGGTGGCTTTTCTCCCCAGTAGGTGTTCTCGGTTGTGGGCACTGTGAGCAAACCGTCCACTTTTTAGGTTGTGCTGATATGGGAGGGTTTGACCTAGACGTCTGGAGGTCCCTGCCAGCCCCAATCATCTGTGATTCCTCTCCCTTCAACCCTCTTCACCTCAGGCCCAGAGCTGGGGTCTAGCCATGCCACTGCTCTTGCTCAAGCAGCAAGTGGCGGGGAAGCTAGGCAGACCCTGGCTGGGGACGCTCACTGATGGGAGGGAGGGGGGATTAAACCCCCCTTTTCCCCTCAAGCTACCCATGTCTGGCCACCACCTCTGCTTCTGCCACTCGAGTTGTGAGGATGGTGCTCCAGTGCTTCAGAACTCTACAGATGCAACTTATCAAGCTTAGAAGACAAAGCAGCTATCAAGCATTCAAAGCTAAGGCAGTTCAGTCAACTTATTCAGTAACTGATCCTCCCACAAGCTATGATATTTCTTAGCTGAAGACTTAGTGGCACTAGAGATGTGGAATTCTTTCAGACCTTTTGAAAACATCAAAGAAAATCAAGAATACATTTCAGTCTGATCCATACAACTGAAAACCATATTGTAAGGGAAACCAATGGGCAAGGTATGAACAGAAGCAGGAGCCAGCTTTTGGGCTAGGTACAGACATTCAAAAAGCCCGAGGCGGAATCAGTCTAAGTTGGACAGTTTTCTGTAAGCAGTGTAGTTTAGATCATTAACAAACAGAACAAACATTCACCCTTTGGTGGGAGGGGCAAATTTTAGACCAGGTTCTGCCATTTTTAGATCTTCCTGTGTTTACCAAACTTCTGTTCTGTATGGGTATAGACCACTTTCCAATCACTTATACTGGTAAAAATGTAATGTCTATACCTGGCCTTGGAAAGTAAGATTTGATCTCTTGCAATATCATACTGCAGAAATGATCAGTAAATCTAAATACCACTGTAATTACTTTTTTATTTTATTGAAGTAGCAGAACTGAAGGCAGTGGAGGCTCTGTGACTGAGGGGGAACTGCTTTTCAAAACTAAAATGAAAGTAACTCTTTAAAACAGGAAGTACTTTCTTAAATCTTTAAAAACACTTTTCATTTTTGACCCGCATAGGGCCTTGTCACATGTTCACTTGCAACAGTTGCAAATTGTTGGAATGTAGCGACCTATTAAAGTTAGTGTATGCTAGGAGATGACCCCTTGCTTTAGAATGAACAACTTTGCAATGCCTCAAGGTCACTTAACAGGTGCTTATACTGCTTGAACATGCATTGATTTGTTTTTAAATTTCATTTAGTATGTGTTAAGCTGAATGTATGACATTCCCTCACACAATTCCTTCTTGTGGCTTTGGGGAAGAAAGTACTGAAATACCTGAAAGATATTTCTTGCATATGACTTCTAGTTTGATTTAGAATCAAGAAGATTAAATTATTTTGGATTCCTATCTGAGCAAGTGCACCTTTTTAGGTTCTCACACCCTTAAAATAAGAACTTTTTAGAAATTTGAAAAACTTGAAGATATACGAGACAAAGGTTAATATCTTCATTTAAATCCCAGCATGTGAGGAGTTGTTATCTAGAATAAACTGGGAGAAAAATTGGGCTTGCTACCTTTCCTGTATTGTTCTCCAGTTTAAAAGCAAAACCCTGAGAACACCAGTAATTCTCTTGATATTTAGTATTAAAATTTGTTGCCTTTTTCTCATTTGTATTTTAACTGTGGGAAGTAGGGAAGTTTGGATTGCTGTATTTAGCTAGAGATGGAAAAAAAGGAGTCTTGGAGGGACCATATTTAATTAGTTTTAGTTCATAAACTAATAGAATTACTTGAAAATCTTCAACAAAGTTGTTCTTATTCTCAGCTTATTGCTCTAAATTTGAGGAAGACATTTCATTCTTATATAAAACAAAGAGATTGTATACTAGCTTAAGTGAAAAATAAACTCATCACAACTGTGTAGCCACTCTAGAATAGACCAAAAATGTTAAAAGTACACTATGAATTTGTTATGAGGCATTATGATACTTTGCTACTAACTTGCTGTGTGACCTTGAGGGTCAATTCTCCTGTCTGTGCCTCTTTTTCCTCCTGTCCTTTGCTTGCTTTATCTCTTGTGCTTGTAAGTTTTCTGAGGCTGAGACTGTCTTTTACTATGTTTTTTTATAGTGACTACAAGCATGGGATGCTGATTTTAGTGTGGGTCTAAGTGTTAACATATTATCAATAATAATTAAAATCTAGGAGAACTAAGAGCACATATTTAAACATATTGGTCTGCTCCTGTATACCCTGTCCAGAAAGACCATGTGGAAGTGCATTCAAACCTTAGGCAAACTCATTTTAAAATTAATTGTAGCCTTGTACAGAAAAGCAAGTTTACTCTAGGGCAGTGGTCCACATCCTTTGCTGGCCTGTGGACAAGAGCACTGAACAAATAATACATAAATGCTGCCACTGCAGACATCAGCTTACATACTTGGCTGTCCCTGCGAGCATTAATTCTTAAATTCTTGTGGTTGCAAGCAATATTAGAGGATCTCATGGGTAACACATGCCCTGGAAACCTAGGTTGGGGACCGCTGCATTAAGGCTTTAACTACTCTATTTGTGTTCAGAAAGTCATTTAGCAACAGTCAGTGCTAGGTTAGATAGGCTATTTTCTCAGTATTGCCTACAGTTGCACTGACCAGGATGAGAAGACAGGTTGATCCCTGGCTAACCAAGAGTTCCCATCGTTGCTCTCATTGGCGTGAAATTTCCTGAAACAAAGTAGACAAAGCTGTGATGATCTAAGGCACTTACAACAGTTTACTTTTTTTTTTTAGGTGCAAAAACCTCACAATTCCTGACAGCCTTCCTGAGGTCAGTATTGTTTTCATCTTTGTTAATGAAGCCCTGTCAGTGATTCTGCGCTCCATTCATTCTGCTATTGACCGGACTCCTCCCCACCTGCTCAAAGAAATTATTTTAGTTGATGACAACAGTAATAATGGTAAGGACTGTTTGTAGTGCACCCTTTTTTCATACATGCTGGCTTATGTATAAGAAGTAAGGCATTTCTCTTCATAAATTTTGGATCAGAGGTGCCCCAATAAGATTTCAAATGATGTATTTGGGAGATACTGTAGTACTTTTCTGCATCTTCTTTTGTAATTCCTTAGCATTAGTCTAGGGCAGTGGCCCACAACCTTTGCTGGCCTGTAGACATGTTTGTCTTCAGGATTAGGTACAGACATTCAAAAAGCCTAAGGTAGAATCAATCTAAGTTATGTGGTTTTCTGTAAGCGGTGTAGTTTAGACTGGTAACAAACAGAACACACATTCCTTCTTTGGATGGGGGTGGCAAATCATAGACCAGATTCCACCATTTTTAAACCAGTCTATGTGTGCTGAACTTCTGTTCTGTTATGGATATAGACCAGTAAAAGTGTAATGTCTGCGCCTGGCCCAGATGTACACAAGTAGGTCAAGTTGAGAACAGGGACAGAATGGAACATTAGTCTCTGCTTTTAATCACATTAGTTAAAACAATGGAGATAGGAAATTTGGAAAGGGTTTTTTTTTTAAATGTTTCTTACTACTCTGCTCTGCTGTCAAGCATGCCTACCTTCTCCTGTGTCCTTCTTATTCCTTATAAACTCCCAGTTTCAGCTGTATGCTCACTCACCCTCTATTCTGTATAAGGCCTCTCTTTTTCTTCTTCCTCTTCTGTTCTTGGCTGCTCTGTATCAGCTTGCTAATTTGTTTTTTTTCCCCTCCTGACTGCCAATCTAATCCTTATTGTCTGTTGCTCACCTGGTTTATGTCTCCACATAGACATTTCTCCCTGCTGGTTGAGGAACAGGGCCTGTTAGTTTCTGCTGAGCTCAGTACTTTGCTTAGATGATTTTCACTGGGACCACGCTGGGCATCACTTACAAGTTTCACCTGCTGGCACCATCACAAATGAAATTTTAAATTATCTTCGCGTGGGACATTGAGCATCCTGAAAGCTTTGGCTCTGCTGGGAGTTAATATTGAACTCATAAAATACAAGTACAATCAAAATGTGTTCTGCTGAAGAGAAATGCTGAACAAAGAGCTTTTCCTCTATCTGTACCCTCCTTATAAGTGTTACATGATTGGGTTGCTCCATGCGAGGACATTCTTCTGGTCATCACTGTGCCTCTTGTCTTCATAAAACAAAGCATTAGTGCAGTGATTTTCAACCAAGGGCACTGTGGCACCCTCAGGTGCCTTGAGATCCTTTCTTAAGTGCCATGGGGCATCACACAATGTTAGGTGTGCTAACATGATTCACAAGATAAACCCAGAGATTTCAAATAAATATCAATAATGCTAAAAACATTCTCTCCTGTTGTTATCTTTATGAGTTCTTTGCAATGGAAGAATTGATCTATTATTTTTTGTAGTCAAAAAATGACTAAAAACTAGAGCTGGCATTTTCCAAGGGGTGTGCTGAGTCTGTTGAGGCGAACTTTGACTCTGTTGGGGTTGAGAGCCACTGACTTAGTGGAATTCAAAGCAGATAAGCTTCCCTCCTCAGGTTGTAAGTCTCTTACCCCTCTTCTTTTTGTCAAGGAAAAAACTCAAATTGTAGTTCTGGAAAACATGCATGCAACACAGCAGTTTGATTTAGGCTCTTTGTACTGCAGGTGTACAAGGATATGTGTGACTCTAATTCCAATCCCAGTGAATTATACTGCACTTAGTCAACTGAGCCTAACCAAGCTTTCTTAAAACCCCAACTCATGGAACAGTATGGGCAAGATGGCATGCAGGATTTATATGGTGATGTTCTTGGTTTATAGCACAGTACAGGATGTAACAGTGCAATGGAGTAGTAGAAATTCACATGTAAAAAAATAACAAAATCTGACAGAACTAAATACATTTTTTAAAAAGTTGAATGATCCAGAAAGCCTAAAGCTTCCAGTGATTCAATTTGGATTCATAGATTTGGCATCTGAATCATCTCCGAATCTGAATCGATCCAAAGCTTTGCACAGCCCTAGAAATCACTGGAGTCCCATAAAGATGAGTCTTTTAGGAAGATCCCATTTACCCCATCTTGTATTTACACTGATTATGCACTTTTTATACTTGCGCATTTGGTAGTTTGTAAGCAAACCTGTAGACAGAGATTGTGTTTCTTTAATGCATATTGGTGATGCCCCAAGCAAAAAAAATTTCACTCTCATTCTGATTCTCAGAGCATTCCCAAACTTTGGAGATGTTGGGATTTTTGGAAGCTCTAGCAGGTAAGTTTGCTCAGTGCTGGTCATCATATGGCCATTCAGTGCACTCTACCATTGTCACCATCAATGAAATATAGGACTTTTGTTTCCAGCCTGATGACAACAAACTAAAGACAGTAAAGTATGATCGACTATTTTTCAGGCTTGCATAACCTTCATGAGGTTTAGCAGAGCCAGCATCAGACTCCAGAGGCTCCAGGCAGAGGTTAGAGATGTAGATTCCTTCCTTTCCCCACCCACACACATGGGGTCCTTGGCAATGGCCCCATGTAGTGATATAAGTTATAATTTAGAAACACTCCCTCATTTAAAAGAATTGGGAGATGGTCCCTCAGTTAGGCGCTCTCTGTTAATTAGTTAGAGAGACAAGGGACTGCAGTGGTTTGTCTGCTGCTCCACAATAAAAGGTTGTTTTTCAGTTCTTCTCATTCATGCATGGCTGGTTTATTGAACACAATGATCATTACACTCTGGTTGTGGGCCCCAAAACCCAGCTTTTTCTGTGAGTCTTGCCAATGTATGTCTAGCTGACTCAAGGGAGCCGATGTCCCTCCTATAAATTGCCTGACAGGACTTTAGAGAAAACGCTAGAGCCCAAGAAAGAAGAAACTTATTAAGGCAAAGGGGTTGCCTGATTTTGCCCTCTGGTAATTATTTGGGTTCCTGGCCCCACACAGAAGCATGGGAATTAGGAGAGGATATAAGTAAGTCTGTGGCATGGTGTGAAGTATAAGCATCTTCCTTATACAGAGGTCCATGGGCTCTTGGAAGATTTACACGCTATGCAGTTTTTTGTAAGTGCTGTCCCATTACCAGTGTCAGAGCTGATTTGGATCAGTGCCTCGACACAGTGGAACTTTCCAGCACAAGGCACGGTAAGGCAGGGGAATTCTCGACATGGTGAAGAGTTCCGGCGTGGATAGAGTTCCCGCCAAGGATATGCAGATTTGCATAACACGATTGGCCGATGTTAAATTATTCCCACGTGGTGGCTGGCAATTGGCTCGCTAGCCGTATAAAAGGTTAGGGGCATTTCCGCCCTAGTTGGAGAACTCCGCGATTCCCCCTGGAGTGGAACTCTGGCAGTTTGATCACCTGCCAACGCCTCCCCGTCGTCAAAGCCTTACGACGTATTTTCCGTGTTGCATGCCCAAGTTAGACCCGAGCTACCCGGTCTACAAGAGCTCCTCGATTAGCAACTAGAGATTAGAATTGTTGCAACTATGATTGAAGTGTGAAGTCACTTCTTGCCTGCGCTGTATACGACTCTACAGTGTAAGTAAAGCTGTCTCTGTTTTTTCCAACTGATACGTGTCGCGTCTGTGCCTAATTCCGCTCTGGTGATAGAGAGTACCCATCTACCCGTCACGGGATCGCAGCTGCAACCCCAGCTAGCATTCCCGAGGATTCCCGATCCTCGGTCCCCCCTTGGCCCCCACAACCAGAATTTCTTGCCTGCAGCATCAGGCCATATTGTCCAGCATCTGTTCCTGTTATGTGAATAAGGAAGTTTATTTTACAAAGGTTCTACATTATCAGTTGAAATGCTATAACATTCATTTTAAATATATTTTTTATAGCATCCTAATCTTATATTTAGCTAAAGCTGTCCTGGATAAACTTCACTCTTTTTTGTGTTTGTGTCTATGGTGTTAATTTGACTTTGAACATTGCTGTCAGTAAGGTGTAAGTCATTTGCTCTGGATTTCCTTGCAAAGTTCCCTGAGGGGGGAAAGCCTGCTTTCACAGTCAGAAGCTTTTCCTTGAGTAGAGGCACCAGACATGCTTTATTCTGGCTCTGGACTTGCCCATTTGGACAGACCTCTCCAAATTATAGTAAACAATACCTGCTTATGTTCAAGACTTCTAGGGAAATGTCAGGTCTCCAGAACTGAATGTCAGAGCTTTCACCGACGAAGCAGATGTAGTTTTGCAGAAACCAGGGCTGGAGACATCACAGCAATGGAAGTGACATTTGAATAAAATAGAGAGACCACAGAGAGTGTACAGGCTCTCTCTTTATTTACAGAGAGTGTAAATAAATTACTGGGGGTTTTTGAGTCTTCTCTGCTGTTTGGATTCATCTAAATAAAGGATTGAAATCAGTGCAGTTTGCACTATTGAGGATTTGCCTCCAAGGATATTCTTTAGGATTATGATGTGAAAAGTAACACTAATTTTGCCCTTTCTTTTTACTCTGGGCCAAATCCTGGCTATACTAAGTCAAAGGTAAAACTCTCATTGATTTCATTATACCATATGAAGTTCGCCTTTTAATGACTATCAGGAAAGCAACCTTGTTAACTGTAAAGAAATAACAGAGGAATTGTATCATTTTTTACTCCATTAGGATAATTTCAGAAGCACTATGTAAGATTATTCCATTAACACATAACACATTTATGCATACATTCAACTTCTGTACATTCCTCTTGAGCAACATAAGCTACAGTATTTTATTTCATGCACTTCAGGGTATGTCAAGCAAATTATCTATGACTTTTACTAAACCTCAGTGTAGTTTTTCAAGTTCCCAATTATGTTTCAGAAGACCTCAATTAATCTCTTTGTGAAGCCTTTTTTAAACAAATTTTTGAAGTTAGCAAACTGTGAAAATGCCACAGTGTGTGCCATTTAAAAGCAGAAAATAGATTTAGCAGATCCCCAAACTCTGATCCTTTGGTTTAATAAAATAGTTTGCATTGTTTATGTAAGCATTTCATGTGTCAACTTT